GTGTGTGTGTGTGTGTGTGTGTGTGTGTGTGTGTGTGTGTTAACTGAAAGCTTTGGTATATCTTAAACTCCATATACTGGCAGTGCAGTAGATCAGGCAAAAAAACTAGTTCTGAAATATACCCCTTTTCCATTTGCATAGCTCTTTTTTTTCCCCATCGAGAAGCCTTCAACAGCATATTCATCCTTAGGCAAAGTACATCACAAAGCCACTTGTGGTTTGTGCCGATCTATCTACTTCCAAAGTTTTAGACCACATTTGGAACTACGTTTCTGAACTACTACTAAGCTGCTTGGGGCATTTTATCGGTAAATTTATCAACTTAACAGATACCGCCAGTGGGGCAGTCCACATTCTGCCTTTCTGCTCTTTGGTTATCAGATCAAATAGCTCGCTAATGGACATGCTGGCTTTTGATTGAGGCTAAATGGGGCTGTAGAGAGAGAGAGAGCAGGACAACTTCCAGTTAAACGTTCCTTTACATATTTTATAAGGCCTGATAGAGGCTCCCTTGAGCTTGGCAACGCTGTTTTCCTTCATGTGGGACCAAAACTTATTTAATCCAACCTTCTGCTCTCAGCCTAACCAAATGCAGACGCCTTCAGAAATCCAGAGATGGGATTACAAGGACAACAGAATTTTTCCCACAGCAGTTTTCCTCTAGGACAGTGTTTCTCAACCTTGGCAGCTTGAAGATGTCCGGACTTCAACTCCCAGAATACCCCAGCCAGCGAATGCTGGCTGGGGAATTCTGGGAGTTGAAGTCTGGACATCTTCAAGTTGCCATGGTTGAGAAACACTGCCCTAGGAGGAAATGTTTGGGAATGCCTTTTGTGCTGATTCAAGTAATAGTGAGATAGCCCGTCTTTTAAAGCTCAACAATGTGTCTTTTCCTTAAAACCAACATCTTGATTGTATAAAGATATTGCTGCATATTTTAATTGGAATTTTCTCCCTGCAGCTTGGAGGAACTTTTCCTGTGCCTTAACGACTATAATGCAGTGTCTTGTTCTCCATCTTGTTGTAATTCTCTCAAATTGCTCCACATAACTGACAACAATCTCAAAGACTGGACTGAGATCCGGAAGCTGGGGATAATGTTTCCATCGCTAGATACTTTGGTTCTGGCCAATAACAGTCTGTCAACCATTGAAGACTCCGAAGATTCCCTGGCAAGGCTATTCCCCAACTTGCGCTCCATCAGTCTGCACAAGTCAGGTGAGACCTTGGGTGAAATGTAATGGAAGGATATACAAGGCCTGTTGTTGTGGTCTGCCGGCGGCCTGTGGAGCTGGCAGCAGAGTCGGACAGTGAGGAGGTTGAGGAGGCAATGGGCCAGTCCTGAAATCTGGGGAAGGGTTCTGCGTCAGAGGCAGAGGGGGCCAACTGGCTGCCTCCGGAGTCTGACATCAGTGAGGCAGAGGAACAGGCACCGCCTGTTTCTGGTGCATCCATACGCAGAGCTGCCAGAAGGCAAGAACCAATTAAGAAAGCAGGAGTAAGGCTTGGAGATGATTGGCCCCTCCCATAATACATAAAAGCGGAGCGAATGGGATGTGAGCTTTTGCAGGAAGCAATTAGTTCATCTGGTTGGTTCAAGCTCTGAGAAGTCCTGTCTGACTCTGTGCTAAGTTTGGCCTTGCAAACTATTTGGCAATTAGGCCTCTGGCAGCATTCCAAGGGAGATAAGGTGGGTGTTTATCAACATTCCCTTGAAAGACTGTGGCAACTTGAGCAGACATCTGTCGGAATCTTCACAGACTGTGAAGACTTGCGGGCTGTGAATGACCAGAATTCACAGCCATATAAATAAAAGGGTTTGGGGGACTAAGATTGTGATTTATGCTTTCTCAGGAAGCCTAGGTCAGAACAATTGGACAAAGGCCTAGCTTATCCAGGCTTCCGTTCCCAAACTGCTGACGTAAATATTCTGGAAAGCTCACAAAAGCATCCTTCTGCTGTGAAGAGACACACTTTTCCTCAAGCATGGAGATAAATTATGGCTCCCCTGTTAGGCAGGGAAAATCGGTATGGCTCGTCACAAAGAAAGAGGCGGAGTGCAAATTCTCTCTTGGTCACAAGTTTATTTAGGCTGGACAAAGGTGTGGATCTTCCTATAAGGCTGGAAGAATCCTGAATACATTTTAGAGCAAGCATATACCGTATAAGGCGCACCGGAGAATAAGATGCACCAAGGTTTTGAAGAGATTTTTTTTTTTAAAAAGTAGGTAGAGGAATAGAGAGGGAGAGAAAGAGAGAGATATAGGAGGGAGGGAGGGAGAAAGAGAGGTAGGTAGGTAGGTAGATAAAGGGATAGAGAGAGGGAGAGAAAAATAGAGATAGAGAAATACAGTAGGTAGGTAGAGAGAGAGAGTAGGTAGGTAGGTAGCTGTTTCCAGGTCTATTTATCTATGTGCTGGAGAAGGAAATCGCTGACAATCTGCAGCACCTAAGACTTTGTTTCTGCACTAGATCAATCTAATTCTCATCAATCAAAGAGTTTTCCAAAAGGAAAAAAAAAAGTTTTTGCACTCTGCAAACCTCCTAAAAACAGCCCGTTTTTCATGAGTGTTCCTGGGTGGGGGGGGCTAGGGGGCCAAAACCAAGCAAAAAATGGACCTTTTTCATCAAAAAAATTGCATGCATAGCCTTATGGAGGCTTATAGAGTGCTGCTGGGGTGGGGTGGGGGGCAAAAATGGCCCGTTTTTGCTCATTTCTGCCCTCCCCAGCCCCCAGGAGCTCTCTGAAAGCCTCCATAAGGGTGAAGGGGCGGGGCTTCAGGAGGCAAAAAAAATGCTGTATTCGGTGTATAAGATGCGACCAGATTTTCAGCCTCTTTTTTGAGGAAAAAAGGTGCGTCTTATACACTGAAAAATAAGGTATATAGGTTTCTTAGTTTCACTTAGTTACTTAACAGTAGACACAGCTCATAGTAGACAAGGTGTAGAAATTACACACACCCTGTGGTAATGAGCTTGCTGGGTTGCGAGCTTTATGGTTTCTTTTAACGAGGTCGTCAGGAGTCTGGAGGCCTTAATTATTTTATTTCTGTCATTTCAACCTAAGAATCTAAATCATCAGACCAATTATCAGAATCCTGATTAACACCCCAGGAATAGGTTAACACTTTAATCCTTTAATTAATGATTTTATCCTGATCTCTATCAAAAGTCATCCTAATTGGGTTTTTTTTTTAAAAAAAATGTGATTCCTATAGTTTCCACATGCTCTGAAATAACTTTCTTCACCACCCTTTATTTGCGCAGGCAGATATTTTTCATCATCTCCCCTTGCACTTTCTTAAAGCATGTTACTCTTCTGTGTTTAATCAAATTAACAATTAATGTAGTAGCTATGTCAGCTGGCTCGAGATGGTTTATTGTCGTAGACTTAGAGAAGGGAAAGAACATTTGCCAGGTATAACCTTTTAGAAAAATGAAGTATGTAAAGCTCAACATCACATCGCTCAAGAATTCAGTGCTCTCTAGAAAGAAAAGTATCATTATTCCTTAAGAATAGCCCCATCCACTTGCTTCGATTTGTTTGAATTGTACTTCCACCGGATGATAATAACAGGGTTTTACTGATTTATTTAACTTACTACCTTCGTACTGCTGGGAATACGAGAGTATACCATAAGCCAAAGTCTTAACTTCCCAGGAAATCTAATCCAGTAGCTTTGTTTTTACCAAAATACATCAGTCTCTTTCAGTAATTAATCACCACCTTCATTGGAGCAGCAAAGGTGGAAATGAAATATTATTTTCAGAAGGTGAAAGTAATTGAACAACTCCCCAAAATAATCTAACTTGTCAAGGCTGACATTTAAAAAAAACAAAAACAAAATATAATTCATGTAGGTATAAGATCAGCTGGGAGAAATCTGTGTTCAGATATCCTTCTCTGGTAACAGTAATTTTCTATTACATTTGAGAAATGTTTCATAGAGAAATGTTTGAAAAAAATGTGTGTCTGCCTTTAGCCTGAGCCATTTGTTTCTCTGTTCCGTTCCTCATCTAGTTTCGGCCTGCAAATAATTTTCACACAAGCACAACCTGGACCTACAAATATGTTCTACCTCTTCACTTGTCTGTTTTCCTTGCCTGAGCCTTTCCTTTCTTTAACGCAGGACTGCATTCCTGGGAAGACGTTGACAAACTGAATTCTTTCCCCAAGCTTGAGGAAGTGAGGTTGCTGAGAATCCCTCTCCTTCAGTCGTACACCAATGAGGAGCGGAGGAAGCTGGTAATAGCCAGGTCTGGAGATTTTGTAGTCGATCCAGCCTTAATACGATTAAAAATTGTCTGTGACTTAAGTCTAAGGTTGTTGTTAGTTGTGAAGTCGTGTCTGACCCATCGCAACCCCATGGACAAGGTTCCTCCAGGCCTTCCTGTCCTCTACCATCCTCTGGAGTCCATTCAAGCTCACGCCGACGGCTTCGGTGACTCCATCCAGCCACCTCATTCTCTGTCGTCCCCTTCTTCTTTTGCCCTCCATCTTTCCCAGCATGAGGATCTTCTCCAGTGAGTCCTTCATCATTAGGTGGCCAAAGTATTTGAGTCTCACCTTCAGGATCTGGCCTTCTGAAGAGCA